AAAAAACAACCAAAAACCCTTGAGCTGAATGCATGCTTAAATTAATTAACTCAATAATTAACAAATAATTAAATAACGACCACTGCTGACATATATACATAAATAAACATAAATAATCCAGTGGTGCTGTGACCAGCTATTAAGTGAAACACGTTTTCCAGTGATAGAATACACTACTATAAAATAAAGTGAAAAATAAAAACAATCATGTGATGTAAATCAATGTGAAAATAAAGTCCATCATAACATGTATATGTCACTTTCAGTGTTGTAATCTTCTAATATTCCCAAAGCAAAATCACCCACGTGCTGGTGAAACCGCCTTCCCTTTTGGGTATGCACTCACCAGACCACATGCCTTTCAATCTCATGGTCGGCATGTATCTCTTGTGAAAAGAGATTTATGGAGATTATGAAGTTTACATGGTGATACCACAATTGGAGATTTCATAAACGATACATGCCGACCACGAGAGTGGAAGGCATGTGGGTCTGGTGAGTGCATACCCAAAAGGGAAGGCAGTTTCATGAGCATGTGGTAATTGTGGTTTAAAAACATGGAAAGACCACATGATTTGCAGGTGTGAAAGTGTGCTTCCGCTGTTTGATTAGACTGACCAAACTACAAAGGATTGTGACCCAGAATAAGAAAACAATTCCTGCAAAAGTGACTGCAGAGCCCAATCTCAGTCCCGTGAAGACTGAGATTGAGCTCTGCAGTTACTTTTGCAGCAGTTGGTTTCTTATTCCGGGTCATAATCCTGTGCAATGTCCTTTTGTCTCTTTTCAGTCAATTAACCATGTGCTTATGCTTAGAACGTTTTCCCGGAAACCTTTGATACTGTACCTCGCAAGACATGGCAAATAAACTGTCAACTTCAGTCACAGAGGCACCAGCTAAGCGAGCACAAACAATCTGCCCTCCTTGAAGCTCAGTAAGCTCTGATACGATTCTGCATTACTAGCAGCGCACGCAGTGAATGACGAAAGTGAGGCTTCCTACAGGTTAGCTAGGTGTCTCATCACACAGCGGAAGCAAAAGAATGTTACATCACTTCCGCTTTTACATCCAAACTCCTCGAGCGCTTAGTCTATAATTGCCTAAGCTCCCTCCTCAACGACAACAACCTCCTTGATCCCTTACAGTCTAGCTTCCAACTGCTACACTCCACCGAAACCGCCCTACTCAAACTCACCAACGACCTGCTAACCGCCAAAGCTAATGGCCACTACTCAGTCCTCCTACTCCTCGACCTCTCCGCGGCCTTCAACACAGTTGACCACCCCCTCCTCCTTAAAAAACTATACTCCCTTGGCATCAGAGACTCCGCTCTCTCCTGGCTCTCCTCCTATCTATTCCAGCGCTCCTTCAGTGTTACCTATAACGCTGCCACCTCCCCCTCTCTCCCCCTCTCTGTTGGGGTCCCCCAAGGCTCTGTCCCTCAGGCCCCTTCTCTTCTCCATCTACACCTCCTCCCTTGGCCAACTGATACACTCCCACGGCTTCAACTACCACCTCTACGCCGATGACATGCAAATCTACCTCTCTACCCCTCGCCTCACCCTTTCAGTCTCCGCCCAAATCACCTGCCTACTGAACGACATATCAGACTGGATGTCAATCCACTTCCTCAAATTAAACCTTTCCAAAACAGAGCTCCTAGTTTTTTCCCCCAGCCCGTGCCCCCCCCTAACCTCTTGATCACAACAAATAACGCCACCATCAGTCCCACCCCGCAAGCCAACGTTCTAGGTGTCACTCTAGACTCCAACCTATCATTCCAGCCCCATGTCCAATCACTGGCAAATTCATGCAGGCTCCACCTCCGCATCATCTCCAAAACACGTTCGTTCCTAACCCCAAACAGTACTAAACAACTCATTCACTCTCTTATTATCTCACGACTCGACTACTGCAACTCCCTCCTCACCGGCTTACCTTATCACAGACTCTCCCCGCTTCAGTCTATCCTGAACTCAGCGGCCAGACTCATCCACCTTACCAACCGCTCCGTATCCGCCACCCCCTCTGTCATTCCCTCCACTGGCTTCCGATTGCCCAACGCATAAAATTCAAACTACTAACATTTGACGTACAAAGCTATTCATAATACTGCCCAAACTATCTCACCAACCTGATACCCAATCAAAATACCACCCAACACGTACTCTTCGCTCCTCAGAAGACCTCCTACTCTCCAGTTCCCTGGTCTCCTCCCATTCCCCGACTCCAGGACTTCTCCAGGTCTTCCCCCATCCTCTGCAACTCACTACCCCAATCCATCAGACTGTAATCTACCCTCCTCACCTTTAGGCACACCCTGAAAACCCATCTCTTCAGGGAAGCCTACCCCACCCTCACCTAACAGCCGATCTCCTCCACTCCTCCTACCACTCCATCCCCCACAGCCATTTCCTCCTGTACCACTATCCCCTCCCTCCTAGATTGTAAGCTCCAAGGAGCAGGGCCCCTCGAACCCCTCGTGTATTGTATTGTTACTGTATTGTCACATGTACTGTCCCCCACTATAATGTACAGCGCTGAGCAAACTTTTTGGCGCTATATAAATACTGTATAATAATAATAATGTAGATTAGGCATCCGAAAACTGTGTGGGCAAATACAGGGCGGTTTTGTTGTTGTAAAATTTGCAAGTTAACAGTGGCAGTCTTTAGAAAGGAAAACACCCAACTTCCTCACCCACAGCCAGGAGTGACCACACTCCCAGAACATGGCTATAAACTTAGGAATGCATCTCCAAGACCTATAGTACACAAATTTTACAGTAGGATTATAAAACCTACTTATGGTGGCCAGAGCAGCCATCAGAAATTTTGAAGGCCCTTACACAGCTTTAGGCAACCCCTCCCTAAGCCTGACCACCAACATTCCCCAGAGCCCGCCCACTGGCTGTCCCACCTGAAGTCTCCTTCAGTGCATCTACTTTTATTTTAACTCTCTTAAAACGTAATATATCCTCCATCCCACGTAATATATCCTCCATCTCATGTTTTCCTCCTCCTCCTCCAGTCCTATGTTCTCCTCCATCTCATGTCCTCCTCCTCCAGTCCCATCTCCTTCATTCCCAACCCCCATCCCATGTCGTCCAATCCCATCACCTCTATCACATGTTCTCTTCTTCCAGTCTCATATCCCCCGTCCCACGTCCTCCTCTCTCAGTCTCATCTAGCCATCACATGCACGCTTCCTCCCGGGCCTTCCCCATCACATGTCCTCCACCATTCCATGTCATCATCCTCCAGTCTTATCTCTCCCCGCTATGTCGCCCTCTCTCGAAGTGTCCCTCCTCCCTCTGTAGTTCTTCTATCCCTAATGTGCCCTCAGTACAGCCCTGATCCAGGTGATATACTTCAGTGTACGGTTCCTTCTTGGTCCCGGGGCTCACCTCGCTCTCTCCAGACATACATCTCTGATCAATAAACACTTCCAAACTCAAGCTTCTTGCTGCAAATCTCTCACCCCGCTGGAACCTATTGTCCTGACTTATCAAAGGGGGCAGGTCCAGATGACACACTACGTGCCCTCGAATGGACAGACAGCTACGGGGGTGGAAAATTATGGGGGGAGGGGGAGATGTCCTAGAGAGTCAGGAGAGAGACAGCGGTGGGAACTATGCGTGCAGCGTGGGCTCAAGGGGCAGCTGCTTTGAGCCCCACAACGAATGGGCTTGCCCCTTTTGCCCCATGTTAAAGACAACCCCCTACATATGTCCCCCCTTTATGGCAGCCCTGATGCTGGCCATAGATGGATTGAAATTGGTCTGGATCAGCAGGAACAGTCTAAATTTTGATCCATCTATTGACAGGCTGGTTGTGCTGAAGTCGATTTATCAACGGACTTCAGTAAATCCAGCCTGTCGGGTTTTTTTTGCCTGATCACTGCCAGCAGCTACAGCCTCCAGCATTGAATGCCAGTAGAACATTATAGACCTGCGGGAGGGATTCCCCCATCAACACTGACTGTGTTGATGGGAGAATCAAGCAATATGGTTGAAGGAAAGAAAATTGCATAATATATAGTCTGCCTTAGTCTGCACCTGTCAATTGCTAAATCTTTAATCAACTAATTTAATGTCTTCACAGAATACCTTGAACAGAATACTGCAGCCTTCTAGTAGTCAGTCATTTTAATATCATCAGGTCTATTAGCAGTAAATCTCTACAAAGTGTTTCCAGAGTTTAGAGAATCACACCAAATCCAGAGATTTGGAACCAGCCCATCATTACATGTGTTAAGAGAATTATAATTTTTAAAACACTACAGTCCTCAGGATAATTGGCTTTAAGGGTTACCTGGCATGCAATAAAATGTCCTACAAAAAGACTAAGTGATATCATAAAGTCATTTAGGCCTAATCTATACCGATCGCGTGTGTTACTTGACCTGTAAAAGGACCCTTAAATTCCCAATTTCAAAATCTACATACAGTTCATAAAATCAGATATGATAAAGCTATGCTAATAATTATTATACATTGTATATCCGAACGTAGAAGAAGATACTGAATGGTTCAAGGTTAAACACAGCTAGGCTATCATACAGGAGGTGGAGTGGAATATTTTCACCTCCTGTGTGACCTAACTTTTTGAAGTATACAATTTTTTAGGCTTACGAAAGATCAAATGCATGCTGCATAATAATATGTGAGTTACCAGATCATAACGTGGTATTTAGACTGTATAGAGTGGCACCTGCACAATCAAACATTTTGGCTTTCCCTTGGCTTATCTTCAGGCCTTCTCATTGGTTAGGTAATTTGTGTCAACATCTCTTTAAGCAACAGAAAAGGTGACAGAATTAGCAGTCTGGAACTCTCCTTTACCATCAAACAAAGAACATCAGCCAAGAGTCTTCTTTATTATGAGCACAAACACTTTGGTAACCCCACTGCCTTATATTTAAATCACAAAGGAAGGACATCTTTAAAGAAGTAATATATTTCAGTGATCAATTCAAATAATTTATTAGGCCTGCTTACCTGTTCAGCTCCCACCATACTGATAGGTTTACATTTAAAAAGGTGGTTGATGAATTTTGGTATGAAAGAGCTGAAAGAAAAAGAGAATCATATTGAAAAAAAAAAATAAAAGGGTAAAACAAGATAATAATGCACCAAATGTGTAGACAGCTAAAATGTAATATTAACATCTAAAAGAAGAAGAAAGCTCATGTCAAACTTTGCAAATAAATACCACATTAACATCTGCAGAATATTTACAGTTACAGAAGTTACAGATGAGAACCATACAAGTAAGGCTTTGAAAGTTTTGATGGGTGTCAATGACATCTAAGCTGAATAAACACTATAAAAGAAAAGTGTATCTGTAAATTTTAGTCCATTAGCTGATACAGCTACATATAAAGTAAACAGAATAATTTCATTCTTTTAGAAGTGAATGTTGCATTTTTCTTATGTATATAAACATATTTTAAGACAAATCTTTACTGCTGAACAGATAGATATAACACCAGTTTGTAATCTAGTTATTCCTACAGTTAGTATCTGACTCTGTACTTATTTTAGCTTTCTTTAGAGGCTAACTTCACCTTTTCAAGCAGAATGTCACTTTTCACAATAAATAGAAGCCTTATCTAATGTATTTCTGCACAGGGCCATCCCAATGTGCTTATCTCTTACTTACCTAGTCTATGGCAGCCTTCAATCTGCACCCTCTCTTTTCAAAATTCCAAAAGATGCATTCTGAGCCCTGACTTCCTGTAGCATCATGTGACCATCCAGGAAACTTAATATCCCATCATGTGTACCTTACTACATCAAAGAATAGGCTGCGTTTTACCTCTCTGGACCACGTCTCCCTCATTTTTGGTTTTAGAAAGCACTGCAACTTTGGACTGACCTATAGTAGTGAACAGGTCGCCAGGAGGAGGGGGGCAAGAGCACATTGTATTTTAATGAGGTCAGCTGCTGAAGAACTTACTTCACTCTACTAATGGCTCTGCCATCCTGTAAGACAGTTACCAGGAAGTCATTGAGGATTTTTTATAGAAGAAAAGCTTGAGGTGAGGCCTGCTCCAGATCATTGGTATAGCCTTTTCTTTTCTGTTGTAGAGGTAAATTAATGATACACTATATTGTCAAAAGTATTGGGATGCCTGCCTTTACACGCACATGAACTTTAATGGCATCCCAGTCTTAGTCCGTAGGGTTCAATATTGAGTTGGCCCACCCTTTGCAGCTATAACAGCTTCAAACTCAGCATAGGCAGCACAGTGGCTAAAAGGTTAGTACTTCTGTCTGGCAGTACTAGGGTCGTTGCTTTGAATCCCAACCATGGCACCACATGCCTGGAGTTTGCATGTTCTCCCTGTGCCTGCGTGGGTTTCCTCCGGGTGCTCTGGTTCCCTCCCACACTCCAAAGACATGCTGGTAGGTTAATTGGATTCTGTCTAAATTGGCCCTAGTATGTGTATGTATGAATGTAAGTTAGGGACCTTAGATTGTACAATGTATAGATGTAAAGAGCTGTGTAAATTGACAGCGCTATATAAGTACCTGTAACAAAATAAATAAAACTCTTCTGGGAAGGCTGTCCACAAGGTTTAGGAGTGTGTCTATGGGAATGTTTTGACCATTCTTCCAGAAGTGCATTTGTGAGGTCAGGCACTGATGTCGGACGAGAAGGCCTGGCTCACAGTCTCCGCTGTAATGCATCCTAAAGGTGTTCTATCAGGTTGAGGTCAGGACTCTGTGCAGGCCAGTCAAGTTCCTCCACCCCAAACTTGCTCCATGTCTTTATAGACCTTGCTTTGTGCACTGGTGCATAGTCATGTTGGAACAGAAAGGGGCCATTCCCACAAAGTTGAGACCTTGAAATTGTCCAAAATGTCTTGGTATGCTGATGCCATAAGAGTTCCCTTCAATGGAACTAAGGGGCCAAGCCCAACCCCTGCAAAACAATCCCACACCATAATCCCCTCTCCACCAAACTTTACACTTGTTCTCCTTGCAACTTCCAAAGCCAAATGTGTTCATCGGATTCCAAGACAGAGAAGCGTGATTCATCACTCCAGAGAACACATCTCCACTGCTCTAAAGTGCAGTGGCGACGTGCTTTACACCACTGCATCTGATGCTTTCCATTGCACTTGGTGATGTAAGGCTTGCTAAAGCTGCTTGGTAGTGGAAAGCCATTCCATGAAGCTCTATACGCACTGTTGTGCTAATCTGAAGGCCACATGAAATTTGGAGGTCTTTAGCTACTGACTCTGCAGACAGTTGGCAACTTTTGCGCACTTCAGCATGTGCTGACCCCGCTCTGTCATTTTACGTGGCTTACCACTTCATGGCTGAGTTGCTGTTCCCAGTTGCTTCCACTTTGTCATAATACCATTAACTGTTGACCGTGCAATATTTAGTAATTTTTTTTTTTTCTATTCAAAAAAAAAAAAGTTATAACCCTATACCCACAGTTGATCCAGAGGAAGGCAAAAAAAAAAGCCCCCAGCAAAGCATGATCCAATTTGCTCCTGCAGGGGGAAAAAAATTCCTTCCTGATCCCCCTTAGAGGCAATTAGATATTCCCTAGATAAACTTTACCTGTAAATGTTAGTATCCAGTTATATTCTGTGTGTCCAAGAAAGAATCCAGGCCTTTTTTTAACCACTTGTCTACTGGGCACTTATAACCCCTTCCTGCCCAGGCCAATTTTCAGCTTTCACCGCTGTTGCACTTCGAATGACAATTGTGTGGTCATGCAACACTGTACCCATATGAAATTTTTATAATTTTTTTCAGACAAATAGAGCTTTCTTTTGGTGGTATTTAATCGCTGCTGTGTGTTTTATTTTTTGCGCTATAAACAAAAACAGAGCAAGAAAGTTCTTTGTATCTATTAGAAAATTTTGCAAACAGGTAATTTTTCTCCTTCACTGATGGGCGTTGCTGAGGCTGCACTGATAGGCGACACTGATGAGCGGCACTGGTTGGTAGCACTGCTGAGTGGCACAGGTGGGTGGCACTGATGGGCACAGGTGGGGTGCCACTGATGGGCACTGCTCATCAATGCCCTGATGATCAGTGCCGATCCCTTTGCTGACAATTGACGGTTCTCGGCAGTACTTTCCTCATGCTGTGACAGCACGAGGAAAGTGCAGCCGATAACCGGCAACTGTATTTACCTGGTGATCACTGGACACAGCTGATCACGTGGTAAAAGGGCGCCGTGATTGGCCGTTTACCGTACCCCGTGATCAGCTGTGTCCGTAGGACACAGCGATCACCGCTGGCGTTGGGTGCGTGCACTGGAATGACGCCCATGGACGTCGTCCAGGATTACACAACCACGCTGTAGCCGTCCTTCGGCTATAGCGCGGTTGGGAACCGGTTAAAGCAATCCACTGAGCTGGCCAGAACCAACTCTTGAGGGAGTCTATTCCACATTTTCACAGCTCTTACTATGAAAAAACCTTTCTGTGTTTGGAGATTAAATTTCTTTTCCTCCAGATGTAAAGAGTCCCCCTTGTCCTCTGATGACCTCAGAGTGAATAACTCTACACAGAGTTCACTATTTGAACCACTGATGTATTTATACATGTTGATCATATCCCCCTTAATCTCCTCTTCTCAAGCAAGAATAAATACAGTTCCTCTAATCTTTCCTCAAAGCTGGGCTCCTCCATGCCTCTTATTAGTTTGGTGGCCCTTCTCTGTACTTTGACCAATTTTTGTGAATTGGTGCCCAAAACTGAACTGCATATTCCAGATCAGGTATTACTAATGATTTGTAAAGGAGTAAAATTATAGCTCTCTCTCTGCAGTCTACAGTATGCCTCTTTAAATACAAGAGAGGATTTTGCTCGCGTTAGAAACCGCAGCTTGGAATTGCATGCCATTATTAAGCTTGTGATCTACCAGAACTCCCAGATTCTTCTCCACCATTGATTCCCCCAGTTGTACCCCCCCTAGTATGTATGATGCATGCATATTCTTAGTCCCCAAGTGCATCGCCTTACATTTATCAACATTAAACCTCATTTGCCACATAGTTGCCCAATTAAACAGTGCATTGAGGTTAGTTAGCTTGTCAGTTGAAGACATCCTGTAAGGACGTTATTCCACTGCACAGCTTGGTGTCATCTGCAAAGACTGAAATGATATTTTTAATCCCAGACCCTATATAGTTTATAAATATATTAAAAAGTAAGGGTCCGAACACTGAACCTTGGGGTACACCACTGACAATCCTAGACCATTCACACTATGAATCATTAACCACTACTCTTTGAATACGATCTTTTAGCTAGTTTTCTATTCATTTACATACGGATTTTTCGAAGCCCATAGACTTTACCTTACACATTAGCCGTGTGTGGGGAACTGTGTTAAAAGCTTTTGCAAAATCCAAGTATACCACGTCCACCGCCACCCCTCTGTCCAAGGTTTTGCTCATCTCCTCATAAAAAGAAATCAGATTTGTTTGACAACTTCTGTCTTTCATGAATCCATAATGCTTAATATATTTTTTTCCAGTAAGAACTCATCTATGTGGTCTTTTATTAAACTCTCCAGTATCTTCCCAACTATAGAAATTAAACTAACAGGTCTATAATTACTTGGTAAAGATTTTGACCCCTTTTTAAATATTGGCACCACATTGGTCTTACGCCAATCCAGTGGTACTATACCAGTCATTAAAGAGTCCCTAAAAATTTGAAACAATGGCTTTGACATGACAGAGCTCAATTCTTTAAAGGACCCGCGGGTGAATGACATCCGGTCCCAGTGCTTTATTCACCTTTATCCTGTCTAAATATTTTTGGATTATATCAATTGTGAGCGAATGTGGATCATCCGGAGCGGTGTCAATACCATGCCCATTACGGACAAGAGCTCCCCAATGCTCCTTTGTATACAAAGAGCTGAAGAAGGTATTAAATACATTTGCCTTCTCTTTATCCCCAGTAACCCACTCTAGATTATTTTTAAAGGGCCTACATGCTCGGACCGGACCTTTTTTTACTATTAATATATTTGAAGATTTTTGGGGGTTGGTCCTGCTATATTTTGCAATCTGTCGTTCGTTTTCAA